GAGAGAGAGAGAGAGAGAGAGAGAGAGAGAGAGAGAGAGAGCGAGAGCACAGATCTGTTCAGTTCAAGGCTAGCCTGGTCTACAGAGTGAGTTCCAGGACAGTCAGGGCAACAGAGAAACTCTGTCTCGAAAACAACAAACAAACAAAACAAACTGGGGTGGGTGGCAGAACCAAAGCTATCCAACTAGAGTAAGAGTAAGCTATCAAGTGAACAAACGCTACTGAGACATTTAAACAAGTAACATAGGTTTAGCTCCCAACATTCAACGGAAAAAGCTTCCTAAGCAAAAGCCCCTGAATAGACAAATCGAATCTCCCTTTTGAGGGTTCAGTCGGTTGATGTGTTTTGACAATAATAATTATATCTCAGCTTCCCAGAAATAACCCCACCTCTGGCATGCTAGTCTTGGCTAGTGGTAAAAAGCACTGGGGCTCAGTCAGGTACAACAGTACTATATTCCCAGGCCTGGGGGAGGCTCAGGCAGCACAATTGTGAATTAGTGGCTACCCTGGGTTGCACAAGGAGGGGTTCTACGGTCAGGTTGCATTGTCCCATCCAGGTCCATTCAATTAACAGTTATCCAACCTGCAACATGTTTGTTAACCTCGCAAACCTGTTTTCTGGATGCTAAATGAGAAAATGACACCACTATGTACCTCAAGGAGTTAGTTCATGTTTCTGTTCATGTCTCTCTCTCAACCTTTCTCTCTCTCTCTCTCTCTCTCTCTCTCTCTCTCTCTCTCTCCTCTCTCTCTCTCTCTCACACACACATACACACACACACACACACAACAAATGTTCAGTATAACTGTCATCCTGTTACTGTCTTCTCTTACAATCGCTTTATAAATCTATTTTGATGACTGGTTTTTTTCTCCTTGCTCTACATTTTGTGCCTTTTCATGCACTTCCTTCTGTCTGAAAGCTTCCCTACCATCTTGCAGAACAATTATGCCCGGCGAGGTCTAGCAACAAAGTCGATTCTTTCAGGCTCATTTTCCACAGAACCAGTCCTTCCTCGGCTAACGCAGTTCTTCTATCACATTATCGCTTTGAAAAAGTAGCTGTCTAATTATCTGTTCCGGGTGGAGGTGTGGAGGGGAGAGCAGGTAAAACAGTGGCAACATTTACCTCACTAAAGACAGCACAGGTAATACAACTGACAATAAGAATTCGAACTCTCGAGACTGATTTCCGAGTCAACGCTCTTACCTACGAACATGTGCAAACCTGTAGTTTAAATATATAAACAAACGGTCTGGGATCGTATGAGATTAAAAAAAAACAAAACAAAACAAAACTCCTAGATCGACCAGAAACCTTAAGGTGACAGACAGGAAAGAAGGACACGCAGAAAGGAAGGTTCAGGCTCACTCCACCTAGGGTCTGCAGAAAGAGGGAGAAGATGACGGCCATCCAGCAAAGGGGTAAGAGCCATTCGAAAACTGAGGAAAAATGGGGTCTGATGAGAATTTTCCCTCACAGAAGCCCAAGCGTTCGTTCCTCGCTCCTACCGTTGCATTCTGCCTGCCAATGCAAACCCAGGTCACTTGGCCTTTTCCCGCGTGCACCGATCTAGCAGCTGGTTCTGCACGCACGCCTTCCCGCTTCCGGTTCAAAAGCAGCAAGTTGGTACAGCACGGGTGCCCCAAAGGAAGAAGTCGGCTTGAGCCGCGGCACGACTGCGCTTGCGCCTTGGAATCACGCGCTCTCTAGCTCAAAACACTCCCCTCAAAACATTCACGGGCTTGAGGAAACGCGCCTGCGCACTGCACACCAATGGCGATCGACCTCGCTCCCGCAACTCCGCCCAGGGGCCGACGCTCCCACACCCGGCCGCCGGGTCCTCTCAGGCCCCAACCTTCCGCAGACGGAAATGACGACGATCCCGAGGAGAACGGAGGCGGGTTTCATTTCGGCGCCTTTCTGTCTCCCTCGGAAGCGATTGGTTGGTGTGGCACGAAAGAGGCGGGACAAATTGCCGCGGGTTCAGCACCGCCAGTGGAACCGGGAGATGCGGCGGCGCCGGGGCTGTCGCCGTGTTTGCTTTGAGTTGAGTCTCGTCCCTCCAGGCGGCTCCCTGTGCATCTCGGATCATGCTGTTACCCTCGGATGTAGCCAGGCTGGTATTGGGTAAGCGCTGGCCGGGGAGGGCGGGTGATCGGACTGGGCTGAGGGGACGGAAAGCCTAGGGGCTGGGGGGAGGGTTTGCTCAGGGTGGGGAAGCTTTGAGGAGTGGGCTGCTAGCGTCCAAGTTCAGACTAGCAGGGAGGCTCGGTCCCTTGGCGGCTTCGGACATTTGAAGCTCCTTGGTGTGGGGATGCTCCTTCTCATCGTGCTGCGCGATGGAGGCAGCCGAAGGGAGAAAGAAGCTCGGTGTGGAACACCTGGGGCCTGGATTCCGAGGCACAGCCAGGCCCGCTGGGACACCTGAAGGAGTGTCGTCTGCGTGATGGACGAGGCTCCGTGTCCCCCACCCTTTCCCTTGTCAGAGCCGGGACTGATAAAGGAAAAAGGGAAAATCCCGCTTTCCCGGCCGCCCAGCGTTGTTGAAAGACTTTCCGACGCCCTTACCCATAACCCGACCTCAGCGCTTGGAATTTGGGACACAGGGAGGTCCCCACACTCTTGGCCCACCATAGAGGCTTGAAACGCCAATTGCATATTTCAGAACGGCAGCGTGTCGTGTTCTTGAGCAAATATTTAGAAGGTACGACGACACTGACTTCTGGTTGCACACGTTCTAGCCCTCATTTTCCTCCATTTTCGAAAAGGGCTTGTTCATAGACCACTGGTCGATCGGGAAATACTCTCTACGTGAAAGACTGTTTTCGTTGTTTGTCCTTTAAAAGAATAAAAGGGATTGTTCTGTAGGGGACAAGAGCCTCTTAGGCTCAAAACTGGACAGTGACTTTGAAACATTATTTGCGACATCTCTAAAAAGAAAGTGGTCAAAGTATGAGGAATCCTTCCATAGTTTCCACAGCCGTTACGAACATTTGCTTTGTGCCCAGTTCTGTCCAAAAAATAAAAATCGCGCGTTTGGCCCGACATATTTTAAGAGGCTCTGAACGGCTCTACTGTCTATTTTTGGAGAAACTTAAACACAAAAACTAATGCTTTGAATGTTTAAAATTGTTTCTACTTTATCAGACTTGGGTAGTTAACCTAAATTTATACCTGTGATTTTTAAAGCTAGCTTTCTTGTAATTTTTTAGTTATTCTCATACAAAAATTGATGAAAAGTAGACCCACATTATGAATATTTTTAATTCTCTGTACGTATTAAGAACTTCGACTTTTAGCTGTCTTGTGATCCATATAAAACTCCTTGATCATAGCCTCAAAAATGGCTGCTCAATTTTGGCAATGTGAACATCGAAAAGTGGATAATTTTTGAGTATTTCTCCGTTTTTTCCCCCTTCGGATTTTATGGGATGCTTAATCCTGATTTCTCTTCGTTATTACCAGTAGGATGTCATTCTTAGATGTAAGAAAGGGGGTGGGGAGGGGCTTTACATACTGTCAGCATTTCCCCTGAAGAGAAAGTCCTGCCTTGTTAAGAAAACCTTAAGGAAATGACAGTCTTTCTAGTTGGAATAATTATGTTTCTGCCCCACTAACAAGTTGTAACTTTTTCTCTTGATGCTTACAAACTCAAGTTGTTGCTTTTCATCCTTAAGATCATCTTCGTTATTCAGATTCCGCTTTCACTGCCATGAATTCCAGCATGCCTCCCATTCTGTTTTGGAATTGTGGTGTCTTTCCATATACTCACAATTCATGTATACCCTTTTTGCAAATATTGCTGAAGCATCTAAAAATTAAACCACTTTTGAGCTTGGAATACAAAAAAAGCCTCCCCACTACTCTCAATTCTGTGATTTAGTATTATCTTTTTATATGTATGTATACCTCTATCTACAGGTTTATTGCTTGCTCAAGTCCTTCTGTGGTAACCCCTTACCATCTTTAGCCCCTCTCTTTTGATTGCTTATGGTTTTTGTTGTTGTTTGTTCTGTTGTCATGTTCCATACACTGCCAGTTTTTTAAGCATAAGAGGACTTAGCATTCATTTCACTTTTTTTAACCCTTTAATACCAAAACATTTTTCTAAACTCCATCTCCAGTGCCCTATGTCACCCAATAGATTTCCTAGTAAAACCGCTTATTACTTAGCTTTACCAATTCACTTTCCTCTAATTCTTCAGCTTACTGCACTGAGTATTCACCTAAGTGCTCTCTACTCAGCCATAGCCAGCTATTTATTGCCTCAATGGAATTTTTCAAAGTATTGTAGAGACCAAGATCCCTTGCTTGCTGCCTCTAGGTCATCAGGCTTTTACTAATCTTTCATAGAAGTGCTCTGTGGAACTGATTATACTTGTCTTTCTACCCAGCCCCACCTTTTCAATATTTGTGCTAAGGTGACAGTACATTAAAGACTTTAGTTTTTCTAAATGTTATGTATTCCTTTCCCCGTGTGTCTAATATACTTGTATTAAAGGTTTAAGTCAAATGTGATATCAGAAAGTTCTTTCAGTAGCTACAGTTGATAATTTCTCTACTGTCTTATTAAAGTAACTTTGTTGTTTAGAGTGTAGACCCCAAAGATACTAGGTTTCTTGGAGCTGGATTTTCAGGCAGTTGTAAACCACCTTAAGTGGGTGCCAGGAATCAAACTCAGGTCCTTTGGAAGAGTATTTATCCAGTATTGACTGATGAGCCATCTCTCCACTCCAGTTTTCTATGGTTCTTAACCATTTTGTCTTTTCTGTTGAAGCTTATTAACTATTCTTATCTTTTATGCTGCATTCATGCTAGGCATGTTCCCCAAACAAATTCCTACATATATGCTATCAATACTTTGGGACATATCACCCCCTTGAACAATAATTTTCCATGCTTGGTAGTAAATTTTAAGTCTGTATCTTCCTATAAACAGCCATTCCTATTTTCTCAGTACTTTTAGCTTTTCCTAAGTTAATCACGTCTAACTCCTTGTGAATCATAATTTGTGGATTGAAGCCGTACATTTTATACTTGTAGATCTAGTACTACAAGACACTGTTACTTGTCTTAATAAGAACTTATTAAGAAATTATATTCTTTCAAGGAAATTAAACAATATTGCTGGGGAGTCAATACATGAAAGAGGTATTTACACAATCAGAGCTTTGGTTCTTGCTTTCTTTGGGCTCCTTTTTGTCTGTCTTTCCTTAAAAGGCCAAGCTCTTAGAATGTTTCCCCAATTTGTGAAGCCCCTTGATATAGTTAAGATTTTATCTGTCATGTGATTGATAATTGGTTATGATCAGATGGTTAGTGATGGTGGGTATGCATTTTTGTAGCACATAACCAGTTAATCATATAAACAATGGCATCTTTGAATATTTTCAGGTATTTTCTACATTGTTTTTGAGCTCTTAAGACAAAGTAAAGCAGAACTTACCAAATTTAACCAAAAATTAAAGCTTAAATTTTACCAAAGCATACTTTGAGAATAGAACATAATGTCTCGGATATTTCTAGATGGCTACACATTTCTATAAAAATTAAAAGTAATACACCATTTTCACAGAGCCTTTTCTCAAATACACTACAAAAGCTTGTACTGACTTATAATGCATCATGAACTGTCATAGCTGATATTCTTTTCCCAAGGCATGCTAGCACAATTAATCATATTTTTCACTTTAGAACGTGGAGAAATTATATTACTTCTTGCCTAAGACATTGCTTTTCAACCTTCATTTTGCTGTCATACCCTTTAAGGTGTCTTTGTAATGTTTTTCTAACCACCTTTCCCACAAATATTTTTAATGTTGCAAATAAATTGTACATCTTTTTATATTAGATGTATATCTTGAATTGCATAAAAATGAAATTTTCCTATTTCTCTGAGGAGCAGTTTCTAACCTCTTTTAGGATGATGTCACTTCTAAGAAATATGTGTTCTCCAGGAAGGAAAAATGTTTAGTAATGACCACCTGTCACAAGTCTCAAGTGACTGAATACATCTAGGTGATTAATACTTTTAGAACTCTCTATGAAAAAAAAAATTATTTGGTGTATCTAATCCAAATCCAAAACCTGAAGAAAAAGTTCAACTACCTCGATTCCATGGTGATTTCAGTGGTTTATATATGTTTTAAATTTGTGTTCACAGAATCCTAGTATCACCTCCCTCATTCTAAATAATACTTTGGGAATACTGAGGAATTTTTTTTAAGCTGATTATATTTCACAAACAGGAAAAGGTTTTTTTACAGTTGAATTTTATTGTTCATGTGACAGAGAGGATGTACACTTGTGTAGCAGTCAGAAGATAACTTTGAGGAGTTGGCTGCCTCCTTCCACTATGGACTCCAGAGTTCACACCAAATCATTAGGCTCATGAAGCAGATGACTTTACCAGCTGAAGCTATCTGGCTAGGCCAGATGTATTGTTTTAATTCATGTAATTTACAATATGCTCTTCAGTGATAGCAATTTTAAAGTTGATAATCTGATAAAAAGGAATTGTTTGGAGGTTTTTCTTGTTTTGCTTTGCTTTTTTTTGGTTTGGTTTGGTTTGGTTTCTGAATGCTTCTTATGCTCCAGAAAATATTTGAATATGTATTTGTTTTTCTTCATACAAGTTAGAAGTTAGAAAACCGCTGGGCAGTGGTGGCACATGTCTTTAATCCTAGCACTTGGGAGGCAGAAACAGGTGGATTTCTGAGTTCGAGGACAGCCAGGGCTATACAGAGAGAAACCCTGTCTCGAAAAACCAAAAAAAGAAGAAGAAGAAGAAGTTAGAAAACCTATTTCTTAACTACAAGAAGAAAGTGATAAGTTAATTCCCAAACCATAAAGGCAGTGCCTAAAATAATAGGGCATTTTTCTTGCTGTTCTCTTTTTAAAACTTACGTGAAATGGCTTTGTAGGCCATCTTATCAGGGTTGGGTTTTTTTATTATTTTATTTATTTATTTGTATGATATGTTTATCTGTTTTGCCTGTGTGTATGTCTGTACTATGTGCGTACAATGCAAAGGGTCAGAAGAGAATGTTGAGGCTCCTGGAACTGGAGTTAAAAATGGTTGATAGCCACAGTGTAGGTGCTAAAATCTGAACCCAGTCCTCTGGAAGAGCAGCAAGTGCTCTTCTTAATCAAAAATCCCATCTCCAGCTCCTGCTTTGTTTTTAATTAGAACAGAGTATATGTATATTTCCAAGTGAAGAAAGCCTTAAAATTTTAAAATAGGAAGAGACTTTAGAAATCACTTATTAAAGCTAACAAACATGTTTTGATTGTTACATTTTACCAGCACTGGGATAAGTATACTTAGGCTAAATAATGTATGGAGTTGCTTACTTTATCTATGGTATCCTTATTAGCATAGAAATTTGAAATGTTGATATTCAGCTTATCTCTTTCTTTGGTTGCTTGGGTTTTTCAGGTGTTATACCTGAGTATATCATTATTTAATCATTATATCTTTCTTCAATCCAAGGGAGACCAAAAAAATTACCTTTTTTGTTGTCTGCTTTTCTAAACATTTTTATAACCTTAGACTTTACAGTTAGGTATTTGATGTTAGGGGAGTTAATTTTTTAATAGAGTGGAATTTGGGGACCAGCTTCATTTTTATAAGCATATATCAATTTGATACATCATGAGTTACTAAAAACTTCCTGACAGGTGGTGGTAGCATATACCTTTAATTCCAGAAGGCAGAGAAAGGTAGATCCTTGAATTTGAGTCCGGCCTAGTCTACAGAGTGAGTTCCAGGACAGGCAGGGATACAGAGAAACCCTGTCTCAAACAAAAAAAACTATTCTTTCTTTTCCTCTATTGAGCTTTTTTGATAACTTTAATACAGAGCCAAGTGGTTACCAACCTTTAGCCTTCACTTGTTAAGGTTGAAGTTCCTATTGGAATTAATATCAAGAATATCCTTCTGACCTTTAACACAGTGTATATAGATCTCTCTTCAATTTGATAAATCAATGGCTTATCGAACACAGATAAGTGATTCTGAGAGAATATGGTTTTTGTATAATCCAGTAAGCATATGTATCCATCCCCTCACCTAGTTCATCTCCATGTGGCAGTCATGGAGTAGTGGAATGTACTTACTATTTCTCTGTTGCTTTTCTCCAAGTTTACTGTGCACTAGTTGCACTTTGTCAAAGGTCTCTTTTTACAAGTTTAACTAGAACTGGGTCCTGTGGAGGACCTCGTGGTCATAATCATTATGCTTTATACTTCAGCACAACCTACTGAAAGGCTGTAAGACACGGACATGTTTTGCCTGAGGCTCCACTTACGGCTTTCCTACATACTCTAGCAATTTTAAGAGTACAGTGTTTACTGAAAGTATTCAAACTTCTATTCTTCATTTAGGTTACTTACAACAAGAAAACCTCACATCTACATGCCAGACTTTTATTTTGGAAAGTTCAAATTTAAAAGAATATGCAGAACACTGTACCGATGAAGGTTTTATTCCAGCCTGCCTACTGGTGAGTTACTTACTCCTTTTAGGAAATTTTCATTACTAACCACTACAGAAGACTGTAAAAGCTGAGCCTTAATTTTAGCTTTTTCAGGAGGCACTGTGCCATATGTCTGTTGTCCTATCTGATTGGGAACATAAGATAATCACTGGATCACTTGAGCCCAGGGATTTAGGAACAGCCTGGGCATCATAGCAAGATCCGTGTCATCAGCCAAGTCAGCTTTGGCAAAAAGCTACATGACTTATCACTTTGTAATTCATGTAACTGAGAAACAGAGATTTAGCCAGGTAGTATACATCTATAATGCAGATTTTTAGAAGACTGAGACAGGATGATTATCACTACTTTTAGACCAACTTGGGCTACACAACAAGATCTTATTTAAAAAAAAAATCAAATTAAAAAATTACTGTCACAGGACTGAAGAGATAGCTCAGTGGTTAAGACTGACTGCTCTTCCAGAGGTCTTGAGTTCAATTCCCAGCAACCACATGGTGGCTCACAACCACAGCAGTGGGATCTGGTGCTCTCTTCTGGCGTGTCTGAAGACAGTGATGGTGTACTCACATACATAAAATATGTTTTCATATGGTACTAGTAGATTATGTTAAGGATGGCTCCTTAGTGGAATTTTAACTATTAATGGTCATTTTTCTATAAGAAGTCTAAAGGAATCTACAAAACTGAAGTTTACCAAGGATATAGGATACAAAATATGCAAAATTCCACTCTACTTTTACATACCTGCAATGAACAGTTATTTCAGTTTTAAAGTACCTATTTATAATAACAACACACAGAATGCTTGAGTAGCGCAACAAAATATGTATGTAATGTTTGCTAAGAGCTGCTTGAAAGAAAAAATGTGAATAAAATCAACATTGTATGTGTAAATTAGCAATTCAGTAGTGTTGAGTCAATTCTCCCTAATTTCACATGTAGATTGATCACAGTCAGAATCCCCACAGTTTTATAGAAAGCAACATGCTGAATTCTGAATTTTATGTAGAAAAAATGGTTGGAATACCACAAACAATTCTGAAAAATGTGAAAGAGTTGGGAACTAGAGGAGATGACTCCAGTGCCTGCTGCTCTTCCCTCCCCAGCACCCATGTCTGCTGGCTCTCACTGGTCGAACCTCACAGCTGTCTCTTACTACAGTTCCCTGGGATCCTACTCCCTCTTTTGTCTTCCTTGGACGCTTGCACACCCAAACAAATGAAAATATAAGTAAATCTTAAAGAGTCAGAACACATTATTTTAAAGTGTCAAGATCAAGAAGAACACTAGAAAACTCACATAACAGAAGAGACTAATAAAACATAATGCTTAAATATTAACTAGAATTCTAGATTCACATTTCAGAGAAAACTTCCACACCCTGAATAAATTCCAGTAGTTTCAATGCTAATGTTACTTTTAGTGCTGATAAAAGTATTCTGTTTATATAAGATTCCAGTACTGTAAGGTACTGAGAATAGGCTACTAAAATCTGAGTTTTAGGCTCTCCATTGAACTTTAAGATTTTAAAAACAAAAATCTTGAAAAAAATAAAATTAAAACTTATAAAGTACAAAAAGGTACTCATGTCCCCCCCCCTTTTTTTTTTTTTTTAAGAGACAGGGTTTCTCTGTGTAGCCCTGGCTGTCCTGGAACTCACTCTGTAGACCAGGCTGGCCTTGAACTCAGAAATCCGCCTGCCTCTGCCTCCCAAGTGCTGGGATTAAAGATGTGCGCCACCACAGCCTGGATCATGTCCCATTTTTTAAAAGACTTATTAATTTTTTGATTATGTGTATTTGTACATGTTTGTGTGAGAGCATACACACATGGATACAGGAGCTTTCAGAGGTCAGAAGAGGGCATCGGATCTCCTGGAGCTGCAGTTACGGGTAGTTGTGAATTGTCCAGTGTTAGTGCTGGGAACTGAACTTGGGTCTCTAAAAAGGTAGTATACCGTGTTACCCTCTGGACATATCTCCAGATAAGTAAATTGAGATCTAAATGTTCAAAGCTCTTATAATTGCATAGCAATAGATCTTTACTGTGTTACTTTCTATTACTGAGTATTTTTCTTAGTTGGGTTTCAGAACAGTAGTGAAGACAAAAAATAAAATTAAATGATAAAAAGGGAAGGAAGGGAAGGGATATTCTGTGGCTGTGACTTCTGTCTCTCACCAAATCAGTGATTCTCAACCAGTGGATTGCAAGCCCTGGGGGCTATCAAAACTTTCACAGGGATCACCTAAGACCATCTAGAAACAGATGTTTACATTATGATTTATAAGTATAGCAAAATTACAGTTAATGAAATAGCAATGAAAATAATTTTATGGTCAAGGGTCACTACAACATGAGGAACTGTATAAAGGATCACTGTGTTAGGAAGGATGGAGATGATTGCTACTAAACAGAGGGGAACCATTTCTTCAGTCAGTCATTTAGCAGTAACTAGTTACTGGTTACTTATTACAATTCATTATTAGAAAGAAAGAAAAAGCCACAGGGAGTGATTACTTAGGTAAATCTCCTGCCTTTTCAAGCTTTATGTTGAGTAAGTAGCCTCCATCTGAGTTATGAGTTATATCCAGTTTCTTTTTTACTTCTTTGAGTTGGGATCTACCTAACTTACTTGAGCTGGTCTTGATCTTTCTCTGTAACTCTGACAGAACTTGAGTTTGCAGCTCCCTTCTGCTTTACCTTCCCAGGTATTTAGGAATACAGGCCTGTACCATATGCCTTAATCTAGTACCGAGGAAGCCAAGACCAGTCTGGGATTTATAATAAGAGGGAAAAAAAGAGTGTAGTGTTGAAAATTGAGTGGAAAAGGGAATGTAATTGCCTGTCATACATCTTCCTCAGTGTATTATATATGTCTTCAATATTGTCCAAAATAAAAGTTTTATCCTAGTATGTCTGCAGTCAATTTTAGGTATTTAAAGAATTTATTGCATGATGTTACTTTTTTGAAATCAGAACTCTTAGTTCCAGAATCTTTGCTCTTTTCTAACCTTAAGTGTATGATCATACTATTATAAAAGACTACTTGTGAATTGTAATGGTTTACATGGCTTTCAGGTCAGCCAGAATAGGTTTGATATGGGTCCTTATTGTTTCTTTTAAACAGTTAATAAAATACTACCTCCAGGCTAAAAACTGCTTTTTATGACCATGCTTTTTGTTTTACATAAGGACTTATGTCACAGTTCAGACAGGCAGAGTTCTTTCAGGTGTGTCACACATACCTTTAGTGAATGTTGGTAACCTGCTTCTCTACCCTTTCCTCACAGGATTTTCTGCACTCAAGATCTTGTCATTGGCTCTTATGGTGGGAAAGTGGTAAATTGTATGGTTTTGGTAATACTTGATCTTTTTGCTTTTCAGTCCCTATTTGGAAAAAACTTGACAACAATTTTGAATGAGTATGTAGCTATGAAAGCAAAAGGTAAGAACTTGGATATTGTTGTTTTAAGATACAGTCTCATTAAAAGCCTTGAAAATACTTAATCTTCTTCTGGTAAGACATATTTTACTGACCTGGGTGGTAGTGGTACACACCTTAGTCCCAGCCCTCAAGAGGCAGAGACAGGCAGATCTCTGTGAGTTCAAGGCCAATCTGGTCTACAGAGTGAATTCTAGGACAGCCAGGAGTACACAGAGAAACCCTTTCTCGAAAAACAACAAAAGATATATATATGTATGTATGTATGTGTATATACATATACATACATATATGTATATATATATACATATATATACATATATGTATGTATATGTATATAAAATCTTACTGGGAAACAGAATTTATTTCTGCTTATATTGAGTAAAACCAATTCTAAAACTCCAGATGTTAACTAACCAAAATAAGCCAGAACTCATATTTCAAAATGAAATGAAACTTAGCTCTAGGTTAGTTATACTGGCAAGAAAAAAAAAATCAGTGTTATTAGCTAAAATACTTTGAACTGGTAATTTTGACTTCTATGTAATGAGAGTAGGCATAGAACTTGGTCAAAAAAATTGACTTATAGTTAACAACATAAAATAACAATTCTTTAAATTTCTGATGAGTCAGAGGGGAATTACTCCCTTGACATTGTTTCTATAGTTCATATCATCAAAACTATTACTGTTAGATTAATTGTTGTAAGATAATAGCCAGAGGAAAAGTAGCTTTACCTTTATTGGTGATAACTAGATGTGCAGATATCATGTTAGGTGCTTTATGTTGTATCTCAGCCTTTAACCCAATAAAAAGTATTGTTCATAGATGTTTTTAATGAAGAAATCAAGGATTAAATTTGGACACATAGGCATTTGTTTGCCTTTCTCTTATACAAAAAGAGATAAGATTATTAGCCTTACAAGTTATTTAGATATATTTATATTAGACTTGCTTCTCTGTGGTTTAAAGAAAAAAGCCACCTCATTATATATTTGCACACTGTTACAAATAGGCTTATTTCTCAATTTCCAATGTAACTTCAACAACTCAGAGACAAGGATTTTGTTTGTTTTTTCCTGTTATTATCTATGTCTTTGTTCAAATTGAAAAACGAATTTTTTCAGCTGAGTTTATTTCCTCTTATTTAGAAACATCAAATGATGTCCCAACAATAATGTCATCTCTGTGGAAGAAGCTAGACCACACACTGTCTCAGATCAGGTATTGTGCCCATTAAGATGTGCTTTTTTAGGAATGCAAATACACTTTGGGTATAGGACTTCTTACGATATTATAATATATCCATGTAACATCTTTTTAATTTTGAAGTTTTGTAAAGGATAATTGAGGTTCTTGTTCTAAATTTGAAATAATTTGAAACAAGTTGAATATTTTTAATAGATTATTTACAAATGAGTGAGTTTTTAATATACAAAAATTTAATGACATTCCCAACTTTGCATACCAATTTAGAAACAGTTTAGACTAAAATACAAATTCCCTTAGACAACCATTTCTTCATTACATATTCAGAGAAATGTTGACTTCATGCCCAATTGATTCTTTCTGGAATTTTCTAGTATTTTTGCATGGTATGAATACTAATACTGTCTATGTAGTTCACAGCCTTGGAATGCCAGGCTCAGCATCCTTGGAAAGATAACCAGCCTTGTTGTTATAAGTTTTTGGACATCTCTTATGTAATGATAGTATCTCAATGAAAAACCCTTCCTCTCAAAGCTACAAGTGAATATTTCATATAACTTCAATAGAGGCCTCATTTTTACCCTCTGGCTAGGCTAATGGCTCCAAATGGCTTCATCCTAGCAGTGGATCTTATTTGCTAGTTTTGTCTTTATATTTCTTTCCCTAACTCATTGTTCTGCCCTTGGAAATAATTTTCAAAATATTCTTAGAGGGTCTGGAGAGATGACTCAGTCAATAATAGTGTCACTGTATAAACGTGAGGAGCTGTTGTGCTCTCCAGTACTATACACCAAGCTGCACAGTGGCGCATGCCTTTAGAACTCAGGTGCTGAAGTATTGATATATGTGAACCACATTTTTAAGAAAAGTTTCTGTCATTACAGAGTTGAATTGAGAATGTTATATTTATATGTAGCTTACTTAAACATAAAAAGTTTCTAAAGTCTAGCCAGCCTATACCTTAATATCAGAGCATTCCAGTGCATATTGATTAGATAGGAATTTGATCACCAAAATTATGTTGTATGAGTGTTTACATGGCTCTGGTTTTCTTCTAAAAGAAATCACAGTTGATACCCGAAAAGACAATTAGACTCATTTCATCTGAGGGAAATCACCTTTTATAGTTTACTTATAATTTACTTCATGTTTGATGGTAACTAAACCAAAAAATATCTCATCTAAAAGTAATACTTAAAAAGTAACTACTTTGTTTCACTTGTTAGGAGCATGCAGAGTTCTCCAGGGTTTGCTGCCCATCAGAGAGGTTGGTATTTAATGTTCATCAAGGTTCAACATTACCTCACACTTGTCTCATAAACATATAAACTAACAATATCCGTGTGCTACATCTATATTTTCTTTAAACTACTCTTTTTTAGTACAATTAGTAGACATGTTCATTTATCATGGTTGGGGGGGTTTGAGGTATGGCTTAGTGGTTTAACTGAATGTACAGGTCCCTGGATTTAATTCTTATCAGTATAAAACAAAATTAAAAATATATGTGCATGAATGTGATATGCAAATATGTGGTGTGTGTGTGTGTGTGTGTGTGTCCTAGTTTAACTCTTGCATGTGAAGTAGCAGCATCCTTAATTTATAATTTGAAAATCTTAATTTTGGGGGAACATTATAGGATATGGCAGAACAGGTATCCTTTGGGTATATGAAGTTGTAATGTTTTCATTTTAATTTGTTTTTATACAATATACTTGCATAGTTATTTTATATTTTTCAAGACTATCTTTTAATCTATAAATCTAACATGTTATAGTGTATAGGCCATGCAACATAGTGTCTTGGTCAGATTCTGAAACTCCTATGACACTGTTAATTTTGTAATGCCACGTGTTTCAGCTCGAACGAGAAATGGAATTGCGGAAATCAAGCGGCAGCGATGGCTGGCATCTCAAGCAGCTCCCGTCAGTTCAGAGTTACTGGTTTTACCTTATGCTTCAGGACAGTTTACCACTTCTCCTTTGGTAGCCACACAAGCTATTAAACCAGCTGGCCAAATTTCAACTCCAGCGAGGTCAAATATTGTGGTGGTCAACCAGTCACAGCCACAAAATACTGTAACTAGTAAGTTTAAGTTTTACTCTTTAAATTCAGTTGATCCAAGTAACCATGTCTTACTTTTGTAGTATAAAATCATAGCCTAAGAGAGAGATGAAAGAACTTGTAAAGACAGCAGACAGTTGTTCGACCACAAGGATGCAATCATAAAACTCTGATCTTGTTTTTTTCCTCAGTGTTAAATAAAGCAGGCTCGACTGTGTAATTCTAGCAGTCAGAAGAATAAGAAATTCAAGGTCATCTGCTACATGCCTTCAAATAAAAATATTTTTTACTTAAAATCTAGAAGTCATTGTAGCTAAGTCTACAGTTCTTTCTGTTCTAATTGAACTGCAGGCCAACCTTGAACTTGTCTAATTTTCAGATTTGGGGTAATAATTGGAAAGACCTGATTGTGTTTTTTTAAGCAGAATGTACACTATATTTCACCATCTCGGAACTGTGAATGTCAGTTTGTCCTGGAATATATTCCCTATGTACCACCTTTCTGTGTTGAATAGTCTGGATATTCTCAGCCTAGTCTTAGAGCTAGAAATAAAGTTAGAGATCATGTTCTAATCCAGATTGTGCCTGTTGTAGATATACTTGTTGTATATATACTTGTTGAAGTGCAAACAGGGTAGCAAGAAGTAGGAAGCTGCTCTAATATGTGCTTTGGGATTAGAATTCAGGGTTCATCTCTTATTCCTGAGTTGAGTAATTTTGCCACGCATTAAGACTACTCATTTCAGACATAGTAGGGGCGCCCTTAGTCTCAGCACTGAGGAGGCAGAAGCATGTAGGTCTCTGACTTTGAGGCCAGCTGGATCTACAGAGAGAGTTCCAGGATAGCTGAGGCTACACACAGAAACCTTGCCTTGAAAAATAACAACAACAACAACATTGTTCATTTCTGTCTTTCTCCAAATCCTGTTCTATAGTAGGAGCATTCAGTTGATTCTTTTTATACTTTTGGTTTTTCGAGACAGGTTTTCTCTATGTAGCTCTGGCTGTCCTGGAACTCACTCTGCAGACCAGGCTGGCCTCGAACTCAGAAATCCGCCTGCCTCTGCCTCCCGAGTGCTGGGATTAAAGGCGTGCACCACCACTGCCCGGCATACTTTTTCCCTTTATGTTTCCTTTGTATTTGTCAACTGTCAACCTTAAGTGTATAGGGACTGTATTGCATTTGTCTTACTATCTTGTACACTGCCTGGCTCATAGTAGTACTCAGAAAATGTTTTCTGGATTTTAATATATAATAATAGTAGGTATCTAATGTTTGTCATCTCATTACAAGTTAATAAAATTTGTGTTTCTTTGGCTTACTGTGTTTTCTTAAGATACAGCTGGCGAGTCTTTGAATATCATTCCTGGTCCTCAGGAAAGGAAAACTCAAACCAGTTTAATGTCTCCTGGTAGACGTAAAAGGTAATCACTTTATTTAATCGGCACATTGCCAGTAGCCACTTAAAAACAGACAAAATATAACTTAGTAAATATTTACATTGTGAATAAATTAATAAGACTAGATTAAGTTCTTGTGACACATTCCAAACACATCTTTTCCAATATTGTGACTTCTCTCAATTTGAGTTGTGTCTTTTAATCAGTGGTGTGTCACTTAATGTTCAGTAACTTTCTGTAGTGGTGTGCAGAATAATGCTATAGCTTATGAAGGATCTTGACTCATTTGTAGAGTGTTTTCTTAAATTAATATAATGTTAGTTTTATGGTCCAAAAGAATACATGGAGTTAAATCATGACAGCATGTTTTTAGGTGTCATGCTAAGAATATATGAAGAATTAAATTATGAAAACATATTCTTTTCTTATTTTCATATGTATATTTTTCCTGTTCTACTTCAGCTTGTATTTCTTTAAAAAAATTATGAGAGGTCAGAGTTCTAAATGGTTTTTATCTGACTCTTCATCTGCCAACCAATAGGGTTTTTTTTTTTTGCTTTTTTTGATTAGAGTTTTTAACTTCTTAATCACATAAAATAGTAAAACTATTAACATTTTTAGAAACTTTGAACTTTTTATTATAAAGTCCATGAATATTTAAAACTTTTTTTTTTTTTTTTTGGTTTTTCGAGACAGAGTTTCTCTATGTAGCCCTGGCTGTCCTGGAACTCACTCGGTAGACCAGGCTGGCCTTGAACTCAGAAATCCGCCTGTCTCTGCCTCCCAAGTGCTGGGATTAAAGGTGTGCACCACCACCGCCCGGCTAAAACTATTTTTCATAAACCCACTAATACAATGGTTTACATTGCATCATAAGCTAGGTGGTGGAGCTTGGAATGTAGCTTGGGAGAACAGGAGCCTAGTATGTGTGAGGTCCTCAGATAAATTCCCAACACCACTAAATACAGAAGGGGATCAAAGTACAAAACTTAAGACCACATAGCCAATTTTTGGTTTTTGAAAGTTGTTTTTTGTTTGTTTTGCTTTTTTCCATTTGTTTTCTTTTTGTTTTCTTTTCATCTTTTTAGTCTGTTGTTTTTTAATAGAAGTCAGGTTCGTTAAATCTGAATCCATGTCTGGTAATGCTTTTCTGCTCTTCTGACTTTGTTATCATGGAAAGAAAAAAAAAATGTGCCTACTCCCATGATGATCTCAAAATTTATATATGTTATCATTGATCTGTTAAACAGATGACAAACTTTATAATTTTATTTCAGTGAATCACAAAAGAAGAGTTTCACATCATCTGGACCGCATTCATCAAGAAATTTTCAGGATCCAAATGCATTTGCAGTAGAAAAAGTTAGTGACCTTCCTAAAATTCACAGTTTGAAATATTCTCAAATTTAAAAACACTGATGTATATATAGACAGTTACATGTATTATGTACTTGGTATTAATATGAGAGCAACAAGATTGCCTATTGAGTAGGGAAGTGTAACTAGAAAGTAGCAGTTAGAGAGCACACATGTGGCAAATGCACCAGCTAAAAATTATTTGTGACTGCCAGTTCCTACAATTTAACAGGAACATTTTACCAGGATCAGATATTTGAAGACCTTGTATGACATAATAAAGAGTGTAGAACTGCATCTGGGTGGTATGAAGACCGAGTTGTTCAGGCCGGAATGCAGATGGAGACACCAGAACTTGTGTTTCTTTCTACTGATGATTATCAAAACTAGCTACTGCTATTGATTTGCTTTTGTGACATTTTGGTTTTTTAATTGTTTATTTAGAATCGAGGTCTTGTCATGAGATCCAGATTGAACTTAAACTCCTGACTCCAGTTTATAAATTTATCTCAGCTCCTCATTTTGCTGGGACAAAAAGTGTTGATTTGGGTTTGGGTTGGATCGGGTTGGTTTTTCGTGAATAATATAATATTCTTTCCTGTCTTTTACTAGTCTTTATTTTCTTTTTCAGCAAATGGTTATTGAAAATGCAAGAGAGAAAATATTAAACAACAAATCTCTTCAAGAAAAACTAGCAGAAAACATAAATAAGTTTTTGACTAGGTGAGCTATATGATTCAAATCCCTGATTGTTTTTACCCGATCACCCAACTGCACTAACTGTTGTCTTGTTCTCCTTTCTGTGTTACAGCGATAGTAGTATTGCTCAAGTCCCTAAACAGACAGACAGCCACCCGACAGAGCCAGAAACATCAATTGATGAACTCCTAGGACTTCCGGTATGGGTAGATGTGTGTGGGGAGATGAGTGTGTGAGAGAGTGGGGGGGAAGTATATGGTATTTTGGTTTTATTTTAAAATCATTGCTGCCGAGTGGTGGTGGCGCACGCCTTTAATCCCAGCACTTGGGAGGCAGAGGCAGGTGGATTTCTGAGTCGAGGCCAGCCTGGTCTACAAAGTGAGTTCCAGGACAGCCAAGGTTATACAGAGAAACCCTGTCTCGAGAAATTTAAAAAAAAAAAAAAATCATTGCTAAACAATTACATGTATACAATCTGATTTAAAGTAATTAAAATACACTGTTCATTCATCACACATGTAATCTGTTTCTGAACACATTTGAATAGTGAATACAGTACAGTGTTCAGGCCGCAGATATCTTGGAGTCTGTTAGGAGTGGGGGAAACAAACACATTACTGAGATTGGTGTAAGTGCACTGGCCTCCATACTTTAAACACTCTATAGACATTAAATACCTTGCCAGAGGATGTGGCAATGGACATGAAGTTAATTTGCTGAAACTTGATGCTTCTCAGTTCTTATAGTAGTAAACTTGCAGCAGATAGATGGTTCCAAAGAGCTCAGCTCTGGCGATGGACTTGACTAGCCACAGAGAACAATTTGTGGAGGACTGTTGCCAACTATATTCCTATATACCATTGGCTACCATAGAGTATATGAACTGAGAGAATGGGAAAACCTTAACAACCTACAGACTGAGAGATGAGTAAAGCAGAAGTAAAGACAGCTATATCAGATATAAGACACTTCCAGTACAGATTAGGACCAGCATCAATTAGAGGAAGTAGAAGTTCCCAAGAGAACTTCTCACCCTGTCACTCTGTGCATAGATTAAATGGGGAAGATTTTTAAAAACATAGATTTTTAAAAAGTTGATTCAAATTTTTTTATATACCCTGTACCCTCCACTGTCTGCACTTTGCAACATTTCTTTATCTCCATTATTCCTAGAACTCCTTCCCACAGCTCTATCACCCTTCATATGTGGGAAGTTGATTCTAGGATCCCTGACTCGTGATTATCCCTCGTTTTCTGGTCTCAGGGTACCTCATCTTAATAGACTCCTTCTCAATATAGTGGCTACTTATATCCCTCCCAGACACAGCAAGTGACAAAGTAGGCCTTCTCTCCCTGCTGGCTTACCAGGCACAATGGAGCACTCACTGTCTCACCAAAACCTCTATTTACCTTTGAGGCTTTCGAGAACTGTGGGTTTGTCTTGTGGATGTGTAGGACTGCCGGTCTCTTTTTCACTCCTGCCACTTGGCTTAACTGTCGGGCTGGAGCCATGTGCTCATTCCTGTTTACTCTAATTCTTCACACCTAACAGTTACCTGACCACCCCTCTGTAATGTTGGATATTAGTAGAGTCCAATCCTCCTCCTCCTCAGTCTTCTCATTTACTACAGTTTGCAATCCACTAGCCCAGGAGTTATTTTCTTTTAAATAAGCCTATTATTAAAATCAGAAGAAAATTTCTTGTAGGGAAATATTTACACGCAAAAGGCCAATAATAACAAATGTGAATAATTTCTCTGATATTAAACACATACTAATTCTATTTTTTCATGCCTTCATTCTTTTTTTTTCATTTTCTTTTTTTTTTAATAATTTATTTATTTTTTTCAAATCGTAATTTTTACTCATTCACACAGGAGTTATAAACACAAAAAGGCAGGACGTGGGGAAGGGGATGACACTGGATCGTGGGTGTTCAGGGGGAATACAGATATCTTTCAGAACATGGTATCGATTCTGATGGTGGTGATTCTAATCTTGCAAAGGCAGGGATAGAGACCTGACCTCCAGTAATTGAAGGGGACCTTGTAATGGCTCCGGTCCCCCTGTCGTTGTCCAGTGAGGCCTGAGGGCCATACCCATCCCGATGTCTTTTTCCTGGAGAGGGGATACTTTTGACATCAACCCCTATGCAGTCAGGCTTGTCTCTCAGGAAACCCAGAGAGATATTTTTAACTTTTATTTATATTCCCTTGCAGTGCTTAGCCTCAAAGCCTAAGCAAGAATTCAGATCGCCAGTCAGAGGGGGTTCTGGGTGGCCTCTCTCTGCTTGGTCTGGGGCGGAAGTCCCCTCTTTTAGGTTGGGTGGAGAATCATGCCTTCATTCTTAATTTACAGAGTGAAATCCACATGTCTGAAGAAGCTATACAAGATATATTGGAGCAAACAGAATCAGACCCAGCTTTTCAGGCACTCTTTGATCTATTTGATTATGGTAAGTATTAGGTATTGATTCTAGTAAGTAGATAAAATTTTTCTCCACTGTCTTGCATAACCTAACCCAGAATGAAGTAACATCACCCAGGACTTCTGAAAACCTGCCTGTTTCCTTACAGCAAATAATGGACATGTGAGAGTGGGTCTTTATTTTATTTTTACTTAGGAAAGTTCAACTATAAAAATAGAGATTTTGTTTTTTTCTTTTTTGGGTTTGGGTTTTGTTTTTGTTTGGCATTGTCAACATGAGCTGTGGTGAGTCTAATACAGGTAAATATAAATGAATTCCCAAAATACAAAGTATTCAGCATTGCAGTCAGAACAGCCAATAGAATCAGCATTATCTAAGAACTTGTTATGTGTATAGAGTCTTAGAAGATTTTAATAAACATTTAACATTAACAACCAGGTGTTATGTCATATGCCCATTATCTCAGTCAAAAGGCTGAGGCAAAAGGATCGCTTCAACTAAGAACTTCAAAAGTAGCCTAAGGCAGCATAGCAAAACCAAAAAAGAAGAAAATTTGCTGAGAAAAGTCCTTGACTTTGTGTCTGAGTGGCATATAAAGGAGCATGTTAATGTTTAGAAAGTGGGGAGCATACCTATAATAATTCTCAGGGATTTGGAGATAGAGGCAGAAATATAAAGGTCATCCTTGGCTCCATAGTGAGTTCAAGCTTAGCCTGGGCTACCTAATACCTATCTGGAAAAAAAATGATGGAAATATAAGTTATAACATGTATTTAAGAATGGCAATATTTGTGCTTTTTTTCCTAGTATAGTTATTTAATTATTTTTCTATTATATTTTTAACAGGTAAAACAAAGAACAATAAAAATATATCACAGAGTGTCTCCAGTCCACCTATGGAGACTAATCCTAATATAGTCTTACCTGAAGAAACTAATCTAACAATTAGAAGTTCTTTTGAAACAGAAGAATCAGGTAAGATTTTTATTTTGTTAATGCCATCTAAAATGTTAAAATTAGTCTCAAAAGTAAAAAAAGACAAAATAAGCCGGGCAGTGGTGGTACACGCCTTTAATCCCAGCACTTTAATCCCACGCCTTTAATCCCAGGCAGAGGCAGGTGGATTTCTTAGTTCAAGGCCAGCCAGGGCTACACAGAGAAACCCTGTCTCAAAAAAACAAAACAAAAGACAAAATATTATGTAAATTGGAAGTTATTTAAATTATTATAAGTCATTTTTATGCTTATACTTTAATGTCCATTAAGAAAATTTTTGCCAATTATTTTCTCTAGTAATTTGATTAAAAGATTAATTTTTCATATTCATGCTTTCATAGAGCAGTAGACACACAATCTAGTAGTAAATAGTATTGTCCAAATGGGTAAGTCTGTAACCAAAATAATTTCATTATACACAAATTCTAAGGCTTGATCTATTAAGTTCATGTGTTATCATTTTTCCAGCCTTCTGAGTTGAGTGACACTTAACATTTGTTTCTGGGAAATTACATAGTATATACTAATAGTCTTGAATGTGGTAATCTCTTTATTCATTTACAGTTCTGTCTTTCATGGAGTACCAGTGTAGCATAGTTAGTCCATATATAATAAGCACTTTGTGAATTAAAGGAAAGCAAGAATCAGTCAGTATCAAAAAAATTAAAGTATAGAATTAAAGTCTTATTAAATATAACACAAATTTAGAGAAATACATAATAATGTATATAGTTCTCTGAGTTATAAAATCAAATGAAGAAATTCTCTTGGATCACCTCTCAAGAAAAGGATATTGTTGTCAGGACAGGAAAGAGTCTTCCCAGTAACTCCCTACTCTACGCCCTGCGTCTCTGTTCTTCAGAGATAGCCATCATCTTCGTGTCTCATAATTTGGTATACTTTACGCCCTTTTCAGTACCACTTCCATTTAGTCAGTCTGCAGGCTAAGCCTTATCATCATTTTTCTTTACCTGTTTTGATTGATAGATTGGTTTTTTTTGAGACGGGGTTTCTCTGTGTACCTTTGGCTGTTCTTGAACTGACTCTGTAGACTAGGATGGCCACCAATCAGATGCACCTGCCTTTGCCTCTGAGTGCTGGGAGTAAAGGTGCACCCCACGCAGCTCCTTACCTACTTTTAATGCCTAGTGGTGTCCAGTGTTTTCACATCTTGTCTTCGAAGCCTGGTTTTGGAGTATCTTCCTTTTGAGTTCGTTGTTAATGACAAAGCTGAACCCTCTGTTTCTTAGGCTGAACTATATATAATTGAGCCCATGTTTTCATGTTTGTTCACATCTAGAAGATTATGCTTCACTTAAGGTTTATCATAAAATAAAACTCATAATTCTACTTTCTCAGAAAGTCTTGCCAATTTATTATGCATTTACCTCCAGGCTGAGAATGGAGTTCAGAGGCAGAGTGCTTATGTAGCGTAACCCTCAATTTAATCTCTAGCATTGCGTTTTTTAAAATACCGCTTATCCTGTATTTGTGTGTCTTAATATAGTTTCCACACTAATCTCCTTCAATAGAGAATTAAGTGTGCTCTATACACTTTATATCTCTTATGTCATCTTTACTAATGGTAGTTGCTGGCATTTTTCTTGATTTTTCTCTATTATGTTTCTTTCCATATTTGTTTAGGTCGTCTAAATTAGGATTGCTATATGATTGCACTATAATGATGCTACGTTGTTTCCTCTTATATAACTTCATGTGCTGCGTCTTTTATAAAGCTTTTATTCTATCTCCCAGCGGCCTTTCTTTTTATAAACTGTTACAATTTTCACTGTACGTTATCACAATTTTATGTTCTGTATGTTCTTTTTTAGCTCTCTTAATCTCTTCAAGATTGTTGAGTGAATCATTCATATTTGCATTCTAGAGCCATGTATATGGTTGTCCTCAGTAAATATGTCTAATGTTAAAGTATACACAGAAATCCTGGTAATTCTGTAAAATGGTCTTGGTCTCATTTCACCACGAAAAAAATACATCAGGCAAAATAAGATCAGTAGATGTGGCAACATTTGAAAATCCCATCAGCCAGGAGGCTGAAGCATTGAGGATCACTGCAGGCTCAAGGCCAGTATGGGCTATATACACAGTGAGACCTATCTTACAAACATGGAAAAAAGAAAAAAAGGAGAAAAGGTCTAGATAGGGAGACAACACTATTTCCACTAGTGGTTAGAGCTTAGGGCATTTTGTCTCCTGGTAAGTATTGGATGTCCTTAAACCTCTACGTTTTCCTTCTTTGTGGTATCTGTTTTCCTAGGGAACTTGGGAAACAGTTTTACACTTGTTTACAAAACTGTCTGCAATTAGAAAAGTAATTAGATTTTTTTTGATACACAGAGAATGGGAAGTAATCGTGTGTCAGTCTTAATATTGTTATGCCGAAGATTGGTATGTCCTTGGCAAAGTGGGTTTGGTTGTACAGGAAAAGTGACTGCTTCAGAAGTTAAGCATACTCAACTTTCCATCACACTGGTGTTTTACAGATGGGCAGTCTGGTCAGCCTCCATTTTGTACATCCTATCAAAATGAAGATGTATTATTAAATGATTTGAAGAGTGGCAACAGCCATGATGTTCTTCCACAGGAATCCCAGGAAAACTTCTCCCAGATAACCTCTAACATTCAAAAAAAGACCTTTAAAACAGCCGTACCTGCTGAACAGAAGTGTGCCCTTGACATTACCTTTGAGTCTATGTCTAACTTGAGTGACTTTAACCAAAGAGGAAGCTCTACTGAATGTAATGAACATTGTTCTGAGTTATACACCAGTCAGATGCCCACTGAAGCTGAAGTGGCTGTGGGTGAAAAGAATTCTTTGTCTCCAGATATACTTAATCAATCTCAGTATCAGCCTGATCAGCCCAACGTGCCAGTGACTTCATTTGTGTCTCTTGGTGGTGAGACCAATGACAAAAACTTAATTCTCTCTGGGAAAAATCCCCAGCTTTTGTCCCAAAGTACTCCACTAACTGCAAAGCCATCTAAAAGTCAATTTTGTGAAAATTCTAACAATATAATAAAAGTTAAAACTAATTCTCATGGTTCTGAGTCACCAGATTCTAGTGAAACTCAGAACAGTAAAATTGAAACTAACAGTGTATCACCAGTTGCTGCACAGCCACAACCAGATTGCCAAGGTAATTCTCCACTGCAAAGCAAAACATCTCCTGTAATTGTTGAAGGTTTAGGTGTAAATGTGACTGAAAAAATAGAAATTCATCTTGAAGAACCAGCCCCTTCAGATAAACAGATATCTAATGATTCAGCATCTGTTGACTTAAATCCTATGGAAAGCAAGACAAAGCCACTTCAGTCTGAGAATGCTCAAGAACCTCCTGTGAAAGATGGAGATACTATTTTTCTCTCTTTGAGTGGACATAATAGCTGTGAAGAAGTTGCACTGGTTCCCAGAGAAGGTAATTCTGTAAAAAATAATCATTCGCTTTCATCAGAATCTGGTGGTTCAGTGGGAGTCTCTCCTGAGACCCAAAATACTGATGGTAAACCTAGCAACTCAACGGAGGTAGATGCATCAAGTATTGTCTCTCTCAAAATTATCATTAGTGATGATCCATTTGTTTCCTCAGATGCAGAGCTTAACAATGCTGTGTCTAGCATAAGTGGAGAAAACTTACCAACGATAATTCTGTCTTCTAAATCTCCTGCCAAAAATGCAGAATTTGTTACATGCCTATCTTCAGAAGAAAGTGCAAGTGCTGTTGTATCTGTTGAAGTAGGGGATTCTGGCTCCATGGAGCAGAACCTTTTAGTGCTCAAACCTGAGGAACCCATGGTGAACAACACTCAGAATGAAGATGGCATTACTTTTTCAGCCAACATTGCACCATGTGTTCCTAAGGACGGAGGATACATACAATTGATGCCTGCCACAAGCACAGCGTTTGGCAATTCAAGTAACATTCTGATAGCTACCTGTATGACTGATCCAACAGCCTTGGGACCAACTGTCAGTCAGTCTAATGTAGTGGTATTGCCTGGGAGTTCTGCACCTATGACTGCACAGCCTCCTCTACAGCAGTTACAGACACCACCAAAGTCTAACAGTGCATTTGCTGTCAGCCAAGCTGTGTCACCAAACTTTTCACAAGGTAACTCATAAAAGCATATTGGAGGTGAGCCTGGGGTATAGTTGAATGGAAAAGCACTTGTGCAAGGCCATGGACTGTATCTAGCACTGCACAGAAAAAGTTATTTGTATGTGTATGTAATGTATATGCGAGTGCGAACATAGTTTTGGAGCTTCTCTGGATTGTAATCTTAATTTTCTTGTGTGGAGTCACAGACTAGGAAATAATATAGATAGTTCATATGGCCGAATATTCTATAAATAGTTGTTTATGCCTCTTGCCATCCAGCTCAGCCAGGTTTTGTTTTAAATCTGGTAGGCTCTAGCTTTAATTTGTCTCCTTTGAACAGTTTTTAATCTACAACACTAAGCTCTGAGAAAAGAAAGCCTAATTCATTACATAACTGTATACATACTTAAACTCAATGTTTCCGGATATTTATTTTTATTATAATTATAGTTTTTAAGAAATTGTCATTTAGAAAGACTTTCAAGAAAACATTTTATAAAACTCTTTCTAATTTCTATCTTCTGCCATTTAAAAATGATTCAACTCCTTAGAGGCTCCAGGGGGGCTCTTGTGTTCATTGTATGCTAGTTTACAAGCAGTTAGTAATTGATAGACATATATCAATTAATTTATGTTTCAGAGATAAGAATTTACACATATTCACCTACATTTCCATGTGTACTGGCTCATAGACATACAATGATTAAATATTATCAACAAAGTATTAAGTTTATTGAATCTATTTCAAATGAGATAAAGGAGAGACCAGAATTGGTACAGAATATTCTTGACTTAGAATAATGAGGTAAGAGTAACAGTTAAAAGAAGTCATTATAATGCCAAGGGAAGTAGAATAACCATTCCTAGCTGTTTGGGAAATTGTCACTTTGCATGAAAATAAGATCAGTCTGATGGGGCAATTAGTGTATTAGGAAAAGGTTTGTTTACAGAACAGGACTGAATTGCTGCTATTGATTTGCTTCTGGTTAACTCATGAGGACCATGTAGGCACTGTAATTTCCCCCAGTAGCTTGTGTCAAGTTGACATAAAACTAGCCAGCAAAATTAACCCCTTGTCAGCTTGACACACAGTATATCATTGTTAAGCCATAACCTTTCTTTTTTTGTTTTTCACCAAGATCAGACATCAGTATCAACATTACAGTATTAAACATTCCAAATTTTAAAAGTCCCACTTTCTCTAAAAATTCAGACATTTAAAAATTCAATCTTTTGGGGCTGGAGAGATAGCTCAGAGGTTAAGAGCACTGGCTGCTTTTCCAGAGGACCCTGGTTAAATTACTGGCTGCTTTTCCAGAGGACCGTGGTTAAATTTCCAGCACCCACATAGCATTCACAACTAACTATATGTAATTCCAGGGGATCTGACACTCAGTCAGACACACATGCATGCAAACAACATAAGGATAAACAAATCTTTATGAAAAATTAAATCTCTTTAAAATGGGCAGTCTCTTTTTAAATTCAAAGTTTTTCAGTTGTCTCCTGTCAAATCAAACAATAAATTTAAATACTTTCTTCAAGAGGGGAGAGCCAGGGCACAGTCACAATCTGAACAAAGCAAAAGAAAAATCCCAACAGTATAAATAATTCAGTGTCTAATGTCTGAGATTTACTATTGTCTGGGCTCCTCCAAAGTGACCCAAAAGGCTTGGGTCCTTCTCTGGCTCTGTCCTCTGCAGCCCACACAGCTTGTGTTCTAGGCTATGGCTGGCTCCATTGCACCACTGCCGTTTGTTCTTGGTGGTCATTCCATAGTGCTGGCAGCTCCAAAAATCTGGAGTCCCTTGCTGCAACTGAGCAGACACTCCTGGGCTCTTGTCAGGGACTCCAGCTCTGCTATACAGTGCCAAGCCTCAGTTGTTCTCCATGATCCTCGCATGCCTTCAAAACCTGGGTGACTTTTAAACTACCGAGTTTGGCTACCAGCTAGAGGGTACAACCATGGCTGTTTCTGAAACACAGCTTCTGTATGCTGACTCCAAGGAAACATTTCCAGAAGACTTCACCTCAGTAATGCTTGTCTGTTACTCACAGTTGATCCTTCAGCACCAGCTGACCGGCATCAACTGTTCCAGCAAAGCAATGGCTTTACTTTAGTAGTTCTGGTCTCTTGTTAATCACAACCACTTCTTCAGCTCCAGCTGACCTAACACTACAGCTTCTTCACACAAAAGGCCCAGTAGAGTCTTTGTTTCCCTCTGAGATTTAGGAAGCCAGGCTTCCATTGTCTGCACTGCTCTCAACATTCTCATCTTCCAAGCTCCTACAGGACAGCCCACTGAGCTCCCAACACGCAAGTGATTTTTTGGCCCAAAGTTCTTCCACAGTCCTCCCAAAAACAAACTGGGAAGGTCTTCAGTGGGACACACCTAGTACCAACTTCTGTTTTAGTTAGGGTTATTGCTGAGATGAAATGACCAAAAGCAACCTGAGGAGGAAAGGGTTTATTTCGCTCAGGTCCATATTTTCAAAACCAGTGAGGACAAGAACCTGGAGCTGATGCAGAAACTGTCAGGAAAGAAGATTTGGTCATAGAATTTGTTTTAAAATACTAATTTATTGTTGTCAAAAGATTTAGGGAGGAAATCTGATATTAGAATTGTTTTTTTAGGATCTGCCATCATAATTGCTTCTCCAGTCCAACCTGTACTTCAAGGAATGGTGGGAATGATACCTGTGTCTGTAGTTGGACAGAATGGAAATACATTCTCTACTCCTCCTCAGCAGGTAGCATTTGTGAACTAAAAATAGTGTGGGGAAGCATTTCAAATAGCATAATTAATAGGTTTCTTTCTTTCTCTCATTCTTTCTCCTAGGTCCTTCATATGCCTTTAGCAGCACCTGTTTGTAATAGAAGTGTCACTCAGTTCCCCATTTCTCAAAAATCCCAGAAGGCTCAGGGACTCAGAAACAAGCCTATTACAGGTACTTTTTTTTAAAAGAGTTAAAATCAACTTTATATCTCAGAAGCAATAACTGAATGCTTTCTTCTTGAATACATTGTACCATCTTTTTACTCTGTCAAAAACCTGAGTTACTCTTGACACATATTTCTCTCACTCAAATATTCTTCATTTTCTGTCATATCAGTTGTGTCCTATCCTGCTGTCCTTTTTGGGGGAGTAGTGGTGGGGATATCCTCAGTTCTCTAATTCATCCTATATTTGTTAGCTCAGTGACTCCTTCCCCCATACAGAATATGTAACTTTGTACCTAAACATTTTAGGAATTCCCTGTTGCTTACAGGATAAAATTGAAGCTCCTGGCTCTGTGTGGTGGCAAAGTTTGTATACCTCATCCATGGGAGATTGAAATGAGAAGCTAGTCCAGGCCGAACAACTTGAGGTCCCTTCTTGAGAAAAAGGAAAGGAAGTGAAGGAATCTCCCTGACCCACTAAGTATTCCCTGAGGGTCTTCTAGGGACTTTATTGAAGAGTGTTTGTAATAGCTTCTTTTTACCTCCAGTGAGGTAACTGGAAACTCCCCACCCCCTCACCCCCTCAGCTCTTTGCGAGATGAATTCTACTTGTTATTTTAGACCCAATTTCTGCCCTGATCTTTATTATTCTTTACCATCTGCCTTCTGCCTCTGGGTTTGTTTGTTTGTTTGCTGAAACCTTGAGATGCATCATTGTTATGTGACACTGTTCTTGGGGAGTATACATGTACTCACCCCAGGTAAGGAACCAAGAAACTGACCACAAATCAGAGTCTCACTTGGTGAACCAGTTAGCTTTATTGGTCCTATTTACAGGAAGTTGGGTGAGAGATTACTAACAGGAGCAGAAATGACTGCTGCATCAGTAAACAAAGCCCACCCAAGCCTGGATGATGGCTCACAAAATCTAGAAACCTAGAGTACAACTTGGCTGGTTTGAGGCCTTTCCGGGTAGCTCTGTTGATCCAAGCCTCTTCCAGGCAGGTGGGCTAGTTTCTAGTTTTTGTAGGTAGCTTGGGTGATGTGCCTCTTCAGGCTTCTGTGCTGGTCTATGACTGTCTCTTTGCAGACCTTCCTATTTATATATGCCTCTTAGAGGAGAGGCCTGGTGACTGGTTAGCCACAGTGACATCTTGAAGCTATTAAGTTGTTTACTAACTGAGCTTAAAGAGCTTCCCTGTAGGATGCAGTTTTACTTCCCTTCTAACATCCTGTGTCTTAAGAAACCTCCCTACAAGATGAGGGTTTTAATCTCTGTGCGTGCGTGCGTGCGTGCGTATGTATATGTATGTATGTATATATGTATACATATGTATATATGATATATATCTATATATCTAATGCTATAAGTAACCATTAGATAATTTATGTAGTATCTCTGATAACCATCATTCAGAAATATTGTAGTTTCTGAGGTTAACCTTTTAAATTGGCATTTATTATAGTAGAATTTCTTACAGTGTTGGCTTGGTTGTGAACTAACTTGTGCTTGTCTTGTAGAATTTTTATTTACTGACCTTGACTGGTAATTTGTTGGATATAGCAATTGCAGTTTAGAAGTACTTACTTTCAGAGCTTGAACTATCCTTTCCTGATCTTAAGGGTTGTTGACAAGAGATCTCATGTTGTTTTAATGTTTCTGCCTCTATGTGTGAGTTGGTGTTTTTCTCTTACAGTTTTTACTGTTATTTTTTTGTTTTGAAAATTTGGCTACTATATGTTGTAAGGGTGCTCTTTTCTGACCACTGTTGTTTTGGGTTGTTTGTTTTGTTTCTTTTCTTGAAGATTTGTCTATTTTATGTGTGTGGCTGTTGTGCATGCTTGGTGCCCACTGATGTTAAAGGAAGCCACTGTATTCCCAGGAACTGGATGGTTATGAGCCTCCGTGTAAGTTCTGGAAAATGGACCCCAGGTCTTCTGGAAGAACAACCACATGCTCCTAACCACTGAGGGGTCCTAATACTTCTTGTGTTTGGATCTCTTTCTTTGTGTAGACCTGGGAAATTCTTGGATATAGTATTGAATTTGTTGTCTGAGCCTATAGATTTTATCAATTCCTTCTACCCCTATATTCAGATTGGATTTCTTGAATATAATCCTTTTTCTTAGAAATTTTGTTTCTTTTTTTCAATCCTCCTTTATTTATGTCCGTATTATTGCTCAGCTTTACCCCATCCCTGACATTTTGTTTGTTTGTTTGTTTGTTTGTTTTTTCTTTTCTTTCTTTTTTTAAAGATCTGTTTATTTATGTATGTGAATCCAGTGTCACTGTTTCCAGACCAGAAGAGGGCATCATATCCCGTTACAGATGCTTGTGAGCCACCATGTGGGTGCTGGGAATTGAACTCAGGACCTCTGGAAGAGCAGTCAGTGCTTTTAACCACTGAGCCATCTCTCCAGCCCCTCCTGACATTTTTTTCATCTGCTTTCTTTTGTGTGTTGACAGTACCTTCTTCCATGATACCTGAACTCTTAAAGTACAGAAGTATAAATAGAAAAAAAAATGATAATAATAACAAAAAAGAAATTTAAAAAACTTAAGTCAAAGATTAAAAATGCTGAAATTGTAAAACTCAGATTGATGGGAAGAGCCTACTTATTTACTTTAGTTCAGTCTATGAGGATGCTGTACAGCTTCTCCCTGTCATTGCCAGGGTAGGGCTTTGAGATTCAGCCTCAGACACCTTACTATACCTCTGCAGCAGTCTCCAGTCTGCTGCTTGGAGTCTGTTGTTCCCATCAGGATGCTGCCACACATTCCTTATTCTGCTTTTTCTGCAGTCCCAGTATGTAGCTCCTCTGAGTAGTGGCCGGGGTGAGGAATCGATGAGGGCCTCTTGCCCTTCTTATGTACCATATCTATTGCATGTGGCTTCACTCTCCTCCATGTACCTTAAGTTCATCCTCTAATTGGAGTATTTGTTTCTCCCTAGCTCTTCTGGTATCTTGTGCTCAGTCTTTGTTATCACTTCCCTGGACCCAGCCCAGCATAAGCAGCCTAGTGTGGTTAGATACACCAGCTGGCTTCGCTATGGAGAAAAGCCCATCTAATCTACTCCCATCTTTATTTCATGTGGCTCTTTCCCTTTTTTCTCCATTGGTGATTTTATTACTTTGACTTTATTCCATCCAAATTCCAGGTCTCACAAACAACACTTCTAATTTTCATCATAGCTTCTTTCCCCAAGGTGCTTTGTTTTGTTCTTTTGGTTTTTTGAGACAAGGTTTCTCTGTGTAGCCCTGGCTGTTGTGGAACTTGCTTTGTAGACCAGGCTGGCCTTTAACAAGCAAAAATTCTCCTGCCTCTGCTTCTGTGCCACTGTCAGGCACTCGGCTCTAAGGTGCTTTCTTGAACAGCTATCTTGATCTAAGTACAGTTGAATTCTCTTCTCAGTGTCTTTGACATTTGTAGATTCAGCCAGCCACAGGTTGAAAATTTTTAGAGTTAAAAATTACATTTGTGACAAATACCTTTCTCATCATTTTTCTCTGAACAGTATATTAGTATATAATATTAACATACATATATATAATATTATATAATTATAGCAGTATATGAGTATAATATTAGTATATTGGCTATTAACATGGTATTTGTATCATATCATATAACTAACCTAGATATGATTAAAGGATATGTCTCATGTTATATGTACAACTCCATTTTTCTGTAAGGAACCTGATCATGTGCATGTGTTATCCATGGGATCTATTCATTCAGAGACACTGGTAGAGAATTGGTGCACTAAGTACCATCTGGAGCCTTAGACGTTGTGGCCCTGAAGGTTGAAATCATGTTTGCCTGAAATTAAACCAAATCATTGGGTCTGTGTCTAGATTTCCTCTATAGAGTGGGTGAGTCTACATTGTAAGACAATGTAAATATTAAAGAAATAAGTATATAAAAGAGTTTTGTTTGCAAGTAAGCTGATTTACTCATTGTAATATCATCTGACTCTTTCAGAAGAATATTCTTTCACAAAGAATTAATTTTTAATTTCTAATGAATTAATTTATAATTCCAGGAAAACAGGTAAATAATTTGACAAACTTGTCGAGTCTTTCAGAAGCATGTCATACGCAAAGGTGAGCATAAAAATACATTGTATCATCGGTTATTAAAATGCTTAAATGACTGTCTTTGGGGGATTGCTAAAAATGAGATGTTTTATTTTGGTAGAACTGAAGCTTCTGATAAGAATATAGCCACTGAACTTGGGAAAAAACTGGAAGATACCACGATTTCCCTCTCAGCAGAGAGGGTGGCTCCTCCCAGCAAGCCTTTTGAAAGTCATAGGCGGGTGCTTTGTTTCGATAGTGCTGTTTCTTCTGTTGCAAACACACAGGGGCCACTGCATAAGATAACCTCCCAAAACAAAGAAAAGAAGGAAACCTCCATTCCTCGTCTTGACTCACCCATTCTGTCCTCCACCTTAAAGCCACCTCCTAATAATGCCATCAAAAGAGAGAGAGAAAAAACTGTGCCCAAGATTTTATCTAAATCAGAAACTGCCTCTAGTCGACACACCACTATGAAAGAAGTTCAGTCTGAAAAGAAAGTTTCCCCCACAGAAATGACCCTTGAATCTTTCCATAAAACAACGGCTAACAAGGAGAATGAATTGTGCGGAGATGGGGAAAGGCCAAAGAATCCAGACACCTCAAAACTGCCTGGCGGACAGCAGAATGCGAGCTTGAGGAGTGAAAAAGCCATAGCCTCACTGCAGGAATTGACCAAAAAGCAAGCCACACCCTCAAACAATAAAAACACCACTTCTGTAGGTGGGACTGTGAAGGATCAAAAACAAGAGCAGAGTAAACCTACCAGTTCATTAACTGGAGTAGAAATACTGCAGGATGTTCCATTGCACAGCCCAGCGAATAGGATTGCCGATACTGACTTGCCAGTACCCCGGACACCTGGCTCAGGAGCAGGGGAAAAGCATAAAGAACCTAGTGAGAGTATGAAGGCCCCCGCTAGTAGACGCTGTGCTGAAGAAGTCAGCATCCCCAGAGTAATGGTCCCTCCTGTCACTGCAGACTTGCCTGCCTGCAGTCCAGCCAGTGAAACGGGCAGCGAGAACAGTGTTAGCATGGCTGCCCACACGCTCATGATTCTCTCTAGAGCAGCAATTGCTAGGACTACAGCAACACCTCTGAAAGATAACACACAGCAATTTAGAACATCTTCAAGGAGCACTACGAAGAAACGCAAAATTGAGGAATTAGACGAGTGTGAGAGGAACTCCCGCACTTCTAGTAAAAATCTTGCAAATTCATCAGTACCGGTGAAAAAGAAGAAAATCAAGGCAAGTTTGAAAGTTTTCATTTTAATTCCACTCCTGTCCCTTCCTTCAGTGTTGACATTAAAGAGTTCAGTAGTGTTTGCCGCAGTTACCCTCAGAACTATGCACTTAGTGTTTCCTAGTCACGATGATACAAGTTGTTTATAATTATCATCCATAGGAAAAGTGCATGTTTCTGTCATGATATCAGCCAGGATTTTTCATGCAAATATAGGAAGTGTGAAAGCCTAGGAAACTACCATTACATGAATTACTAAGTAAAACATTGCATGTTTGTTCTCCATCTCTTCCATAGTCTGTAATAATGGTTAACCTAGTAGAGTAGCAGAAAACTCATGTCCTTGTTTTTTTTTAACCATGATTGTCTGTAGTAAGGCGGTACAAGGATGGTAGCATTAATAAATAAAATGCACGTTTTAAAATTTGTTTTACCAAATAGATTAAGTGGAAAGTATGTGAATGCCATAGAGGAGAAAGTATAGTAAGTTGGGGAAGTGGCATTTAGGTTTAGTGACCTGCAAGCCTGAGTTTGAATTCTGTATCAAGTGTGTGTCATTCCTGTTGCCTGCCTGTTCATGTCTAGTCTCTGGTCTCTTCCTCTGTGCCCCATCATTTAACCTAAACTCGTCTCACTCTGTGGTTTTGTAGTCTGTTATAGACTAATACTTTAGAAAGCATCTCTAAATGTTTGGAGCTTGATGAGTGAGTGGTATTCTTTAATGTGTGTTAGCAAAGGGGTCAGCTGGTAAAGGTGCTTGTCTTCCACACTGATCTACTATAGAGTTCAATCCTTGAGAACCATGTAGCAGCAAAATCACTCCCAAAAGTAGTCCTTTGACTTACACATACGCACTCAATCAGTATAGTAAAACAGTATCTGTTGGTAATGCTCTGAAAGTTTATGATTTGACAAAAAATGACCACCTTAAAGGAAGCATGTCTCTCTTGTCTCAACTTTCACATATATACTCTGGATTTGCTTTTTTGCCTTTTGCCCTAAACTAACATTGAATTGGGTTAGTAAAACCTGTCTGTCTTTCCCTATAGAAATAAATTCTAACAAACTCAAAAATGATGCAATTTTAATAATAATAAAGAACCTAATATAATGTTTTAGGTGATTTGCTAAGAAAATTACCTGGCCTAGAGTTTATTGTTTTTCCTTCTCTTCTTTTTTGTTTGTTTGTTTTGTTTTGACAGAAAAAGAAGCTACCTAGTTCATTTCCAGCAGGAATGGATGTGGACAAATTCTTGCTCTCATTGCATTATGATGAGTGAACAAACACCCTGACATAGAGACCAGTAGCTATTTAAAACTAGTGTCCTTCAAACTGCGCATAGGAAATGGGATAGAGACAGACTGCAAACATGACCTGCACTTTGACTGTACTGAGGTTTCACTTTATATCTAAGTCATGCTGTTTCTGAAGCAGCTTCCTAGTTTGTAAATAGACTTTCATGGAATATTTGTATTTAGAAAAAAAGAACATACACAGAAATGTAAGTAAACCCAATGTGCAAAACTGTACAGCTTTGACACTGTATATTGTATATGTGTATATTGTGTAAAAATAGAGCTTAAGTCAACCTAATGTTCCCACACTGTCTTGATTGACTTCCTGTGATGCCTGAGGCTTATTCTTCTGGAGTAGTTTCTCGACTCCTTTGGAGGAAGATGATAATTCTTATAAATTACCTTCAGCCAACATTAGATAAGCCACTAAGTAAAAAATAATAATGATAGACACCTCAACTGGTTAGTAAAATATCTAATCAGAAAACAACAGTTTGATGATTTATCCCCTAGTCAGTATTTTATCACCCTTCATAAATTTCAGTAAAAACTATATTTCTGAAGTTTTATACTTTATTCTGATCATCTATTCTCTTTGTTTTAAAGAGATTTTTATAAACCATTTATTAAGTGTTCTGATATTTCACTTACAACTTTTTGAAATCTTTTACAGAACATTAAGTGGTTAGACTATTGAGCCATAAAAATTTGAGTTATGTAGTAGTCAAGATTATTTGATTATATGTAAACTTTCCCTAAGCACTGGGGATACAAAGAATTGCACTAATTCATAGACTTTTTAACATACTAGTGACCAATGCACATTTAATTTAAATCTTGTATGTAAAAGCTTATATGGAGGATTATCTTCTGGTGTCTTTGAAAGTCATGTCCATCATAAGATGTAAAAATGCAAATCATAGTTATATTGTAATTTAGTTTACCCTAAAATGGGATGTGTAAATAACTGTGTTTATACATAACCTATAGAACCTTGTGTTCTTTAAAGTGTTATAAATAGTTACTCTCAAAAGGTCCTTAGGGGAGTGAGAGGTGCCTTCTCTGTGTTGAACTGACTCATAAACAACAGTCAAGTTGGCTTAACCTTTAAAGGAATGACAGAAATTATCATTAATACTTGACCGATTGTGCCTAGATATTGAAGTGTTTTCTTAAGTTCTTACTGTTTAAATATCAGTATATTAGGATTTTTTTTCTACGGGTGTATATTTTATTAAAAAGTCACTTTCTTCAACCATTTTTTGTACTGGGCCTTTAAGAAATAAATCCATCCTACTGTAACAACAACAAAAACGTCTTCAAGATATAAATTATGTCTTTTTAATTGCTAGATTTTACTGTACAAATTTATATTTTGAGAAATTTTATATGACTATGATCTATTCTATTCCTAAGGAGCTAATTAAGCATACAGCTAATGTTTACATAACTCAGCTTGGGTCTATCATACAGTTAGGTTTGAATAAATATATTTTCATTAACTTTACCAGTTTGGATTTATATTGACAGTCCTATTTAGAAACTTTTGGTTAAATTTCTTGTTAGCTTAGTTAACGCTCTGTGTTTTTCAGGAATTCACATAATGCAGGAAATTACAGATTTTCTTATGTAACTCATGTGCTCCATAATGAGAATTCATATGTAAATTAACTCATGCTTTTTTTTTTTTTTTTTAATAGCTTTATGTGTGTTTTTAGTCAGTGTCTTTTCCTGTAAGTCAGGCTGGCTTTGAATTCATTACACAGTTCAGTGACTGAATTCCTGGTCTTCCTTATCTACCTCCTCAAAGCGCCAGTATTGCAGACTTGCACCATACACAGAGCGTCTTCAGGATTCTTGTCCTGTTGTTTGTTTTGTTTTTGAGACAGGGTCACTATGTAGTACTGGCTGACCTGTGTAGACGCAACTAACATCAAACTCACAGGGATCATCCTGCCTCTCTGCCTTCCAAGTGCTAGGGGTTAAAGGCATGCATTACCCTTCCTGGCCTTCAGGGTTCTTAGTGAACTAGCCTGAACAACTAGATATTAAGTCCAAAGACAGTTCCCAATGCGTGCGTGAGCTTCTCCCACACACAGACGCACAGAAGGATATCAGGTATTTTTATTTTTCTCTGCCATTTTCCCTTAGTTCAAGAGTTTTAACTGGGCCTGGAGCTTAATAATTTTAAGCTATACTGGTTGGCCAGCAAGTCCCAGCTGTCCTCCTGTATTTGTTTACCACATCTGAAGCAAGGGTGCAGATACACAGTCATACCCGCTTTTTACATGGGTCCTTGAAATCCAAATCTGTTCCGTCTTCATTTTACAGATTTGGTTGTTTTGAGGATTTTGATTTTTTGTTTATTTTGTTTTTGTTTGGGGGTGGGGGTCTTGAGGATAGGATTTCTGTGTGTAGCCCTGGCTATCCTGAAACTGGCTTTGTAGATAAGGCTGGCCTGGAACTCACAGAGCTTGGTCAGCTTCTGCCTCTCCAGTACTGGGAATAAAAGTATGTGCTACCATACCCAGCTACCACAGTGTTTAATAAACTTTCATTTCCCATGCTCACGTGTGCTTCATCTTACTGTGATTCACAATCTTTTATAATTCTAAAGTCCAAAAGCTTCTGACAACCAATTCTTTGTTTTCCAATTTAACATTAAAGCTCATTTCATGGCAAAACATTGTTAGACTGTGAGGCTTCTTACAGTCCTTTCATTAATCAAAACATTCATATTTTACTATTAAAACAGTGTGTTTAATTTGTATGTTATTTTGTGATATATGATACATTGTGTTACATTTTTAAAAACCCAAAATGTTCAGAATTATGAAATGCAATTTGTGTGAAAAGTTGAGAGTGAAGAGTTATCTTTTGTCTGTTTTTAAGTGGCTACTGGCAATGTGCCGATTATATAAAGTGATTATCTTTTACGTCTACCAGGAGACATTAAACTGGTTTGAGTTTTCCTTTCCTGAGGACCAGGAATGATATTCAAAGACTCTCCAGCTGTATCTTAAGAAAATACAGTAAGCCAAAGAAACACAAATTTTATTAACTTGTAATGAGATGACAAACATTAGATACCGACTATTATTGTATATTAAAATCCAGAAAACATTTTCTGAGTACTACTATGAGCCAGGCAGTGTACAAGATAGTAAGACAAATGCAATACAGTCCCTATACACTTAAGGTTGACAGTTGACAAATACAAAGGAAACATAAAGGGAAAAAGTATAAAAAGAATCAACTGAATGCTCCTACTATAGAACAGGATTTGGAGAAAGACAGAAATGAACAATCTTCTTGTTGTTGTTGTTATTTTTCAAGGCAAGGTTTCTGTGTGTAGCCTCAGCTATCCTGGAACTCTCTGTAGATCCAGCTGGCCTCAAAGTCAGAGACCTATATGCTTCTGCCTCCTCAGTGCTGAGATTAAGGGCGCCCCTACTATGTCTGAAATGAGTAGTCTTAATGGGTGGCAAAATTACTCAACTCAGGAATAAGAGATGAACCCTGAATTCTAATCCCAAAGCACATATTAGAGCAGCTTCCTACTTCTTGCTACCCTGTTTGCACTTCAACAAGTATATATACAACAAGTATATCTACAACAGGCACGATCTGGATTAGAACATGATCTCTAACTTTATTTCTAGCTCTAAGACTAGGCTGAGAATATCCAGACTATTCAACACAGAAAGGTGGTACATAGGGAATATATTCCAGGACAAACTGACATTCACAGTTCCGAGATGGTGAAATATAGTGTACATTCTGCTTAAAAAAACACAATCAGGTCTTTCCAATTATTACCCCAAATCTGAAAATTAGACAAGTTCAAGGTTGGCCTGCAGTTCACTTAGAACAGAAAGAACTGTAGCATGTATGAACTAATAGACTTTGTGCATAGATTGTCTTCATTTGTTGCATCATTACTCTAGCTGTTAGTATTCATGTTTTTTCAAGTATGACTGTTATACTTCCTAATTCAGAATTAAGGCAGCCGGGCGGTGGTGGCGCACACCTTTAATCCCAGCACTTGGGAGGCAGAGGCAAGCAGATTTCTGAGTTCGAGAGTTCGGGGCTAGCCTGGTCTACAGAGTGAGTTCCAGGACAGCCAGGACTACACACAGAATTAAGGCTATTTCAAACTAAACTTCTATTGAAGTATATTTTCAGAATGTGTTAAGGTTGTAGCTTAATTGATACTGAATAGCAAACAGAGGTTAAGATAGAGGCACAAGCCTGTAATCCTGTAGCCGCCCAACAGCCACAGATGAACTGCGTTCATGAAACATGGAGCCAAGACAAAGTTCTCTCATCAAGGCTCAGAGTTTAATATTCAGCACTTGTATATATAGGGAAAGCCCACCAAACCCATCCTTTGTTTCAGCTGGATGATGTTGCAAAGCAGGCTCAGCAGGCAGTCTCTTCTAAATTCTTTCAGGGAGTTGCAAGTGTAAACAAAGTGGCTGGCTTCACCTAGGTATTAAAGTCCTGTGTGGCAAGCAAGGTTTGTTCAGACTGCTCAAGGCTGAGAAGGGCACATAATCCCAGCACTTAAGAGGTTGAGGCAGGATCATTGCCATGAGCAAATGGTAAAGATCATAAGGTAAGTCTCAGTAAAGTTCTTTTGGGTTTGATTTGGTTTTGAGGGGTTGGGGACTTAGCTCAGTGGTAGAGCACATGCCTAGTAAGTGCAAGGCCCTGGGTTTGGTCCTCAACTTGGGGGGGGGGGGCCAAAAAAGAAAAAAAAACCAAAAAAAAAAAAAAAAAAACCCAAGGTAATTGATTTGGTTTTGGGTTTTTGAGAGTGAATCTCTCTGAGAGCTCTGGCTTGCCTGTAGCTCACTGTAGACCAGGCTGGCTTGAACTCCATAGGGTGTGCTACCATGTCTCAATAAAGCTTTGTATCACTATCCTCATGATTTCATGCCAAGCTATTTTTAGAGAACTCTGCATTCCATAACCAGTTAAAATTGTTGGAACTATGTAGAGATGTTATTCTATGTAGAGATTAATTAATGTAAATTTCTGCTTTGACTATCTGAAACACTTTGGCTCTGATTTGACATGTTATGAGTTACAGTGTTTTATTGACATACAAAGTTTTCTGCTCTTGTGGAAATACCATGTTTCATTTATGGGGGGAAAAGACTAAATATCTTTCATTCCTCAGTCTATAGTTATCAAACTGATACCCAATGTAAACAGTCATATATGGTATAGAAACAGAAAATGCACCAAGTTATACATTTCAAGGGATTTCCCCAAACTACAGATTATCTAGACCAAGCCTCTCAACACTCTAAATACCTGTATCCCTCCTAATGACTCCCAGCCCAAAGGGTCATCACTACCCTGCCTTCTAGAACCATGGACACAGCTTCTTGTATTAATTGTTAGTTTACTAGGGTGGCATATTCATTGTGAGGGTTACTTGTGTTTTAGTCAGTCTTCCTTAATGCTGTGTATAGTTTCATTGTGATTTTAAGCAGTGAACCTAGTTTTCCAAATATTTTGTATTCAGATCATGTCCAATTTGGGGCCATGGCTTTGCTTATTTATGTTTGGGGTATTGCTACACTTTCCAGTTAGGTATACTGTTGTTTTAAAAACAAAATCCCAGCTGTTCCATCTTACCAATAAATACTCGGGAGCCTGGACCTGAGGTGAAAACCTAATAGTTCAGAGAGGCAGAGAAAGCACCCAGCTGACCTTCCTACTCCACCAACCTCCCAGAAGGAAAAAGCCCCTTCTCCCTCTCCACAGTGAATTAAAAACCCTTTAACTCAGGCTGTTCCCACTCCTTTCTGTTTACCTGTGTGCACTTTCTGTCCGCTGCTTGCTTGTTCCGCCTCTTCACCTAGGTTTGACTTTATTTAGCTCCCGGATTAAAGGTGAATGCTAGGGCTGAGCCACACCACAACAAGGTTTTTTCAGTAAATAACACAATCTTGTGGTTCAGCATGTGATCAAATATCCTGCAATAGTATACTCTTACACACCAAGTGGTATTGTTGGTTCACAGTATTGTCTATTCCCAACAGGCTTAAATTGTCCTAAGTGATTGTGGTGATCTGTAACTGCTCAGCAGTGTAGGGTCTTCTCCATTTTCCCCCGTGCTCACAGTTTTCATGTTAATCATTTTGGAGAGTGTGTTAGTATACTCTTTGCTATCGTGGACTATCTATCCATATCTTTTGCCTACCTTTGTAATGAATTGTCTGCCTTTTTAAAAATAATTTTTCAGTTTTCTTTCTATATTCTAGATACAGGTTCATAATTGAATAGATCGATCTCAGATAACAGTATTTTCTGTATTTCTCTTCAAGTTTTTTGTTTAATATCCTATTTTAAAATTTTTTTGGTTGACTTTTTTTTAAAGATGTATTTATTTATTTTATTATGAGTACACTGTAGCTGTCTTCGGACACGCCAGAAGAGGGCATCCAATCTCTTTATGGATGGTTGTGAGCCACCATGTGGTTGCTGGGATTT